AGTAAATTTGAAGTTTATTTTTATAGAGAGGCTTTTTCAAGCTGCAAGAATATTTGGAAAGTCAGAGCTATGGCTAGGTTCTTGGATGATAAAGGTTAACGAAAGCAAGCGCCCCACGCTTTTCATTTTCAATCTCATAAATTGTTTATAACGACTTTTGCTAAAATTTCAAAATCAAAAGTTATCAAAACAAATTCTATGGGACTGAGAAATATTATCTTCTACTTTTTAGTCCATTTATAAAAGCGTTGTATATTAAAAAGGTTTTTTTTTATATTATTTATTTTCTACTTTTTAGTCTTGTCTGTATAAAATTTTGCAATAAATATTAAAATAATTCAACGATATTAATAGATAGGTGCACACACATGAATTTACATATGTATGTACATACATACGAGCACCAATTAATTTCATTTAGGGCCAAATTCACAGTGCGTAGTTAACCACTGACAAAAGTTTAACTATTGATTTTGATATACACAACGCTCAGTTAACAAAAGTTTAAACCAGCATGCCCCCATAGTTAAACTCTTGTGAAATTTAAATTTTTTTTGGTGGAACGAATTTCAAATTTGAATAAAAAAGTATTGATATTTAGAATTTGTATATTTTCAGGCGATATGAATTTTCATAGTTAACTAAGTGACTTTGAATATAAATTCATAGTTAAGCTCTTGTTGGTGGTTAAGTCAACAATCGTTTAACTAAGCACTGTGAATCCCGCCCTTAGAAATGGCGTGTCGTTTATTTCTGCTGTAGATGACATCTACCTCGCCCTATGCAGTACAGATGTCGCCCATGCACTAGACTATTTTATAGGAACTTTGCAAAGCAAAGGTTTTATGGTGTCGGACACACAACATTGAAAGTTTCTGGATCCACAACATTGAAAGTTTCTGGATCCACAACATTGAAAGTTGCTGGATCCACAACATTGAAAGTTTCTGGAGCCACAACATTGCAAGTTGATAAAAGCGTTGTAAAAAATACATTTCACTGGCTGACGTTTTT